TGGTTGGAGGAGTAGATCAATTTGGAGGCTCGTCTAAGGCTTCGTTTGGTGATAAAGGTGGAGCTTTCCTCGTGTGGATAGGAGATCTATTTGGAATCCGATCTAGGGTTCAGTTGGGTGGTTCCTAATTCTATCAAATTTGTTCTTTCTCTATAATTTGGAGTTAGTTTGCAATGGGAGAAGAAGGTGAAAGCAGCAAATCGATGGCGAGTACAATACAAGTTGGTTTTCAGAACACCAAAATTAGTGTGGTGAAATATGACTGCAAAATCAACTTTGGTTTGTGGATGAGCGACGTACAGGATGCGCTCAATGCTCAGAATTTGGAAGAGACCATCATGGTCCATGAGAGGCCACCTAAATATGATGAGGCGGTATGGGAGAAAATGAATAGAAACGCTTGTGGGGTGATCAGGTCCTGTTTGGAACAGGAGCTGAAGTATGATGTGATTGGGGTGACGTCTGCGATGAAGATGTGGGAAATTCTCAACAATAAGTACCTTACGAAGAGTGTTGAGAACCGATTGCACTTGCTGCGTAGGTTATTCAGATTCCAGATGTCCAGAGGCACCTCGCTTGCGGCTCATGTGAACAACTATACGAAGTTGTTGTCGGACTTGGCGAATGTTGATGAGAAGATATCGGATGAGTACAAGGCGATTATTTTGTTGGGCTCCTTACCGGATGAGGAGTATGATACCTTCGTGCTCACTTTGTTGAACGGGAGATCTTCTATCAGCTATAGTGAAGTGACTAACGCTTTGACGAACTACGATTTGAGGAGGAAGGATAAGGAGACTTCCCGCGCTAGTACTTCAGGAGAGGCCTTGTCGACGAGAGGTAGAAGCCCATATCCGAAAGGTGGTAACAGAGGGAGGTCAAAGTCTAGAGGCCGCCACCAATTAACAAAGAACCAATGTGCATTCTGCAAGGAGCAGGGACATTGGAAGAGAGACTGCCCGAAGCTCAAGGAGAAAGAGAATGGCAAGAAAAAGGGCCCGAAGGCCAATGAGGTGAACATTGCGAAAGGCGATGATTCCGATGATTCGTGCTTTTCTCTACTGATTACTCCGGAGGTGAACCATGTGGATGCATCAGATTGGATGCTTGATTCCGGCGCTACCTTTCATGTGACCCCTAGGCGAGACTGGTTTGCATCTTTTGAGAAAGTCGACGGGGGCGTTGTTGTCATGGGAAATGATCAATCCTGTGGCGTTTGTGGGATAGGTACCGTGCGGATTAGGATGCACGATGGAGTAGTCCGTGAGTTGAAGGAGGTGAGATTTGTTCCTCAACTGAAGAAAAATCTTATCTCAGTTGGAGCTTTGGAGGCGAAGGGATTCAAGGTGACTTTCGAAAACGCTGTAGCGAAGGTTACTAAGGGATCATTGGTGGTGATGAGGGGAGTCCGCAATCGGAATTTGTATTATCTGAAGGGAAGCACCGAGATTGGCCAGGTTGCTTCGGCTATTTCAGAAGCGGACATGAGCAGACTTTGGCACTATAGATTGGGGCACACAGGTGAAAAGTCACTGCAGACATTGTGCAAGCAGGGGCTATTGAAGGGAGCCAAGAGTGGGAAGATTGAGTTCTGTGAGCACTGTGTTCTTGGCAAGAAGACGAAGGTGAAGTTCGGGACTGCCATTCATCAGACGAGGGGCATCCTGGATTACGTGCACACAGACGTTTGGGGTCCCACCAAGACTGCATCACTTGGTGGTCGACATTGGTTCGTCACTTTTGTAGATGACTATTCTAGGCGTTGTTGGGTGTACACCATGACGAAGAAGAGTGAAGTCCTAGATTTGTTTGTGGAGTGGAAGAAGAGATTGGAACTGCAGACTGGGAGAAAGATCAAGACGTTGCGATCCGACAACGGTGGTGAGTATACTTCTGACCCCTTTCAGCAGCTATGTCGAGACGAGGGCATAGAGAGACACTTCACAGTTAGTCATACACCGCAGCAAAATGGGGTGGCAGAGAGGTTGAATCGGTCTTTACTGGAGAAGATCCGATGCTTATTGTCGCAGAGTGGTTTGGAGAAGATCTTTTGGGCTGAGGCACTTACATATGCGAGCCACCTCATTAATAGGCTGCCTTCATCTGCGATTGAGGGGAAAACCCCTATGGAGATGTGGTCGGGAAAGCCAGCACATGACTATGACCAGCTCAAGGTATTCGGGTGCCCTGCATATTATCATGTTAGAACTGATAAATTGGAACCTCGAGCTAGGAAGGCCATATTTGTAGGATTCAAGCGTGGTGTCAAGGGATACAAGCTTTGGGATCCAGTTGATAAAAAGATTGTTCTGAGTAGGGACGTCACATTTGATGAGGCTTCTATCTTGAAGCTTCCCAGCTCTCATCAGGTGGAGAGCGACCCGACGGAGGAGATATCGCAGGTGGTGGAGATCGATGCAGCTCCACATTGTCCAGATGGTACAGTATCCATGCAGGTGCCGACTGAGGTGACGCCAGGCGAGCACGACGATGACACGGAGGATACGAGTACAAATGTGCAGGATCAGGAACCGACGGCTCAGGTTCAGGATTCTATTGCGGCTAGGAGACAGAGGAGAAACATACAGATGCCAGCACGGTATGCCGACACAGTTGCGTATGCACTTCCGGTGGAGAGTATCGATGAGTTAGTGCCTACTACATTCAGAGAGGCCGAGCAGAGTTCGGAGGCTGATTCGTGGCAGGTGGCTATGCAGGAGGAGATGGAATCTCTTCATAAGAACGATACATGGGAGCTTGTTGAGCTTCCAAAGGGGCGGAAAGCAATTGGTTGCAAGTGGGTATACACGAAGAAGGGGATTTGTCACAGGCGGTGAGCATGGTTTCGAGATACATGCACGATCCAGGAGTGGGTCATTGGGACGCTGTGAAATGGATTTTGAGGTACATTCGAGGTACGCTCAATGTTGGTTTGGTTTATGAGCGGGACACTACAGGTGGGCAATTATGCATTGGCTATCACAGGCGGTAAGCATGGTTTCGAGATACATGCATGATCCAGGAGTGGGTCATTGGGACGCTGTGAAATGGATTTTGAGGTACATTCGAGGTACGCTCAATGTTGGTTTGGTTTATGAGCGGGACACTACAGGTGGGCAATTATGCATTGGCTATGTTAATTCGGATTATGCCGGGGATTTGGATAAGCGCCGGTCTACGACGGGGGATGTGTTTACTTTGACCCGTGCGCCGGTGTGTTGGAGATGCACCTTACAGTCTACGGTGGCTTTGTCTACGACGGAGGCAGAGTATATGGCAGTTACGGAGGCTGTGAAGGAGGCTATTTGGCTTCGAGGACTTTTGGAGGAACTTGGTATATCGCAGAGGTCCGTCACTATTCATTGTGATAGCATGAGTGCTATCTATTTGGCGAAGAATCAGGTTTTTCATGCGAGGACGAAGCACATTGACGTTCGTTATCACTTCGTTCGAGAATTGTGAAGGTCCACACGAAGGATAATCCGGCGGATATGCTCACTAAGGTGGTTCCGAGCAACAAGTTTGATCATTGTCGAAACTTGTTGCACATTCGTAATTGTTGAGGCCGTTGTCGGCCATTTGGGTGAACTACGTTTGGCTTGATTCCTTGGGCAAGAGGATACGTAGGCAGTCTTTCAGATGCAGCCGGTTTGGATTAGTTGATTTTGATGGGGGTGAGATTGTTTGGATTCTCGTTTTGGTTCCCGACAACAAGTGGGACATTTGGATGCTTTGGTGTCGGTTCGGTTTTTTGAAAAAAAACTTCACCGAGGTGGAGAATTGTGAACGTGTTTCTGCGCTTTGCTCGTGGGGTCCACACCTGCACGTGAGTCTGCTTGGAGTTTAATTGTTGTTCGGGTTTTTCGTTTTCGTTCGGGTACGTGTGAAGCGGCCCACGAATAATCCTATTTAAAGAGCCTAGGTTTTCGTGAAAAGGTGATGCAAAGGAGGGCGGCGGCTTCGTGCAAACAGGAAAAGCGGCAGCGAGTGCGAGGGCGCTGTGCAGCAGGAGATTTGATTTTTGGTTTTGATTTGTGTGCGGCTGCGGAACAGAAGTGCGCAACTAGGGATTTCTTTTCGGCGTGCAAAAGGCAGAGGCTACAGTGCGGATGCAGAGATAAAAGAGGAGATTTTGTGAAGCCTTTTGTTTAGAGTTTGTGCATCCCCTTTGAGAGATATTTGTGTGAGGGATTTGAGAGTTTGTGTGAGGGTTTAGATTGAGTGATTGTAAACCCTAGTTGTTTTTCTCTCCCTCTAATAGTAGATCTCCCCCTCCTTGCCCCGTGGACGTAGGCAATTTGCCGAACCACGTAAAAATTGGTTGTACTGCTTTTGTGTGATTTGTAATAGATTTTAGGATCCCTCGACAGGTCAGTCCTAGAACTGATGAGAGGAAGAGCCGATATCTCACTTGGTTGAGATATCCGCTTCAGATTCTTGTCTCCTTGGTGAGACGGGAATTCTTATTGCGACCTGACTCTCTTGTTGTGCTGCCGAAGTGCTGCCGAAATTTCCGCTGCGCGCAACAATTTTCCTAAAACCTTTTCATTGCAACAAAGACCTATAAACATATATTGTGCCAGATATTTCACAAATGTTAATAAATCATCAAACCTTTTCTAGCACATTGCATATGAATTAATCATCCAAGTTATTCAATCAATTGATGTAGAACAGCTTCGCGTGATCAATCACTAAACTCCCAATTATCATGAGATTAAATCAACAACTACCACACTTAGTTTGAACATAAGAATATAAACATCATTACTCTAGAATATCACTTATTATTTAATTCATGTCTATTCTTGAATATTAAAGAAAAGAAGATGAGCCGGATTGTGATTATCCATACCAGAAATAGCTGCAACCTTGTCACAATTCTTCCCAGAGACATCAGCTAGCAAAACAAGCTTACTATGCATTCCAGTTTCAAAACGGTTTTCATGAACCATTAAGCCAAAGCTAACAATTAAAAAACTAATAAACAGTCTTCTCACCTGTAGGAATCCATCTACTACAGGTCAGGAGAAGTAACGACGAGATCATCAACGAAACAAAGTACTATGAGATTATCAACAAAACAAGTCGCCAAGGCTGCATGCAAGTAGAAAACAATTGCTCTTGACACAATATTCACTTATCAAAGATATCTAAATAAGAATACATATGCTCTTGACACAATAGTCACTCATCAAAGATATCTAAATAAGAAAAAGATATCTAAATAAGAATACATATGCTCTTGACACAATAGTCACTCATCAAAGATATCTAAATAAGAATATGCATGCATGTATATTCAATTTATTTATATATACATATGCATGCACACGCACACGTGCACACACATACAACATACATACATAAATACATACATACATAATATTAAGGTTTCAAACCTCAGAGCCTTCAATTTAATAACTCCAATAAATCATAAGCCTTAAAATTTATGCAGGAATTGAGAGACTGTAGAAGATTAAAAAATGTAGTGACACCAATAAACTTTTAGGCAGTATATAAATGCTTAATTACAATCCCAACTACTGCAAATTTAGAGGGCGTATGTAAGGATATAAAGTAGAACCTCTATATAATTGGTATGCATTTACTAATTACATATAAATCGGCAAAATTGCTTAATTATTTTGAGAAGAGCACTTTTGGGCATAAAACATTATGCTGCAAGTTTTCAAGAAACTCTTAAAGTGCAATAGCTACAATATTACTAAACAGATAAAAAGTAAAAACAAGTATTCATCGTCCAAAACAATAATAACAATGAAAAGGAAACCAATTAAGTTACCGCATCTTCAAGAAGCTAAATAATCAAGATATTTTTAGCTAAATACACTCTAAACATTCAGTGCTCTTCAGATATTCTTAACGATGATGCAACCGGTCTCAAGTTATCCGTTCTGATCCTTAAAAATCTGCTTTTAAGTTTCTTAACATGTATAATCTATGCATTTACATAGAAACTCGGAACAAAGTTATCTACTATCACCTTAATAGCAATTTCCCGTTATGCCCAACTCAATATTTGATGGATCTCATGAAGCTATGTTTGGCGTGTGGAAACCCAAAAAGAACCAAGAAACTAGAGGAGAGAACAAGAAAAGACTCGTGTCTGCGTTTGATAAGAGGAAGAATGGTGAACAAATTTACAATAATTTCAGAAAATGATAGGCTTGCATGCCTCATAATGACAATTTATAGCTCTGTAAAAAATGAAAAAACCAAACTATGACGAACTAGAATATGAAAAATAGAAATTTGAAGTACGTTTATTACTTTTGGACGAAGTATGTCGCTAGGGACAAAACATAGTTTCCAGTTTGTTTTTTCTTAAAAATAAACTTTGAAAACCGAAACTAGTTTCCATAATTCCTAATAAACCACAAGAGAATTAAGTTCTATTGCTTTCTGTGTGTTTCCACTATACACAGGCAAAGTCACGACTATCCTCTTTTTACAATAATTTCAGAAAATGATAGGCTTGCATGCCTCATAATGACAATTTATAGCTCTGTAAAAAATGAAAAAACCAAACTATGACGAACTAGAATATGAAAAATAGAAATTTGAAGTACGTTTATTACTTTTGGACGAAGTATGTCGCTAGGGACAAAACATAGTTTCCAGTTTGTTTTTTCTTAAAAATAAACTTTGAAAACCGAAACTAGTTTCCATAATTCCTAATAAACCACAAGAGAATTAAGTTCTATTGCTTTCTGTGTGTTTCCACTATACACGGGCAAAGTCACGACTATCCTCTTTTCGCAGTTTCCCCAAATGGAGATCAGATTAACTCAGAGTATATCAAGCATATCTTAAGCAATCTAATGAGTTAATCCTTTTTACTAGCAGTCTAGCACTAAACGTATAATTCCATAAGCAGAACTGCCTACCACTTACTAGTATATCTTACATATGCTGCATGGTGATTTTCATCTGTCTTTTCTCCAGAATGTAGTTAAATACTAACATTTATCTCAAAAGAAAGTGCTTGTTATATATAGTTCTTTTCGCTCCCCTATCCACTGCCTGAATCCATATACTGTTAGGATACACTCCAACAAAAAATGCCTCGAACAGAATAATATCAGCAGACACAAATTCAATCACAGTACTCACAGATATAATATGGTTTACTCTTACGAAGCTACTCCACGGTGCAACGACGATGCCCAATTCCTTTATATTCCTTTCCGAGATTATTAAAAAAAAGATCAAAGAAAAAATCGTCTCTTGATCAAGATACTCTCCAAGAATTCTCACAAACTCTCTTTATGTTTTCTAGATGGAGATCTCGAACTGCCACGATGCTCAGCACAGTCTGGATCGTGGTCAACTTGACGATGGTAGCAAAAATATCAGAATAGTCTATCCCTGCGTTCTGTTAATAGCCCTTCACTACAAGCCTCGCCTTGTAGCGTCTCCGTCCATCGACTTCATCCTTGACCCGATAAATCCACCGATTGTGAAGAGTATTTAGCCCTCTTGGAAGCTTTACGAGCTGCCAAGTCCCATTCTTCGTCAATGATTTTATTTCTTCCTCCATGACAGACTCCTACTCACCCCGAGCTTTGCCGGTCTGCTATACCTCCTCATAGCTTCTGGCTCATCATTGTCAATCAGGAGAAGATAATTCATGGTGAAAATGTACCTCATTGGCACTCTCGGGTTTCTTAGAGCTTTGTGAACTGCGATGACAGCTTTGCTGGACTATTATGCATCCGGCACGTTCTCTTAGTCTCCGTCTTCTATGTTGATTGGTATCTCACCGTCGTCCTCACTGTCAACAATATCTGAGGAAAAATGGGGAGATAGCTGACTCCCACTCATCTCTTTGGTCTTATGCACCACATCTTCATGGAACACGACGTCACGACTACGCACCACCTTGCGCGCACTGTGATCCCAGAAACAGTACTCATACTCATCTCCTCTATAGCTGATGAAAGAGAGCTTCTTTGACTTCGGATCAAGCTTTGACCGATCTGCAGGATTGGTCATGATATAGGCATCACAACTAAATACTCGTAAGTGTTAACTTCAGCTTCTTTCCGGTCCAAGCATCTTCAGGTATCCAATAACTGAGAGCCGTGGATGGCCCACAGATGATCAAGTATGCAGCAGTATTCACAGCATCGTCCAAAAACTCTTGGGCAATCCGGAGTGGATCCTCGTACTTCTGGCTCGCTCTAAGATAGTGCGATTCATATGCTCCGTCACTCCGTTGTGCTGAGGTGTGCCTGGAACAGTCTTCAGTCTCCTAATCTCATAGGACGAGCAGAAGTTCTCGAAGTCCTGGCTACAATACTCGCCTCCATTATCAGACTTCAGACACTTCAACTTATTGCTTGTTTCGTTCTCCACACAAGCAAGCCATTTCTTGAAGATGATGAAAACATTTGACTTGTGCTTCAAGAAGAGCACTCATAGTTTTCTAGTAGCATTATTAATAAAAAACAAAGTATATAGAGTTGCTAACCGATGGGACTTGCACACGTCCCCACACGTCAGAGTGCACCAACTCTAATTTCTACAATTTTGGAGCTTGTCCAGTCTTGTTGAAACTCACATTCTTCTGTTTGCTTAGGATACAGTCCTCACAGAAAGTCAGATTGATCTTGCTCAAAACCGAAAGCTTCTCTCTTGCGGCCATAATCTGCATCCCCTTCTCGCTCATGTGGCCAAGTCGCCGATGCCAAGTCATGCAGTCGGCGGATGATGATGATGCTTGTCCTATGGCAAGTAAGCGGTCGATCTTCCCATTGACGATGTAGAGAGACCCTTCGAGTTTGCCGTGTGCTACAACCAGTGTATCCTTAAACACCTTCCAGCTTCCCTGTTCGAAGGATACTCTGTAAGCAGAATCAGTCAGTTACCCGACTGATATAAGATTCTGCCTGAGATCTGGTACATACCGAACGTCGTTCAGCGTTAAGGTGATCCCGCCCTCCATCTTGAGAGTACAATTTTCCTTCCCGAAAATTTTACAAGGTTGATCTTTGCTAAGATAGACTGCCCCCAAGTCCTTCACGAACGATAAAAATAGCTTTTGTTGTGAGTTTACATAAAAAGATACGCCAGAGTGGATGACCAACGCATCACTCTTATCTTCAAGAGATAGGAGAAGCGCATCTGAATCCGTCTCGTGCATAAGATTGGCTGCACCGTCAGTCTGACCATCCCCTACTGATGCTGGAACAGAAGCTCTATAGTACCGTGCAAATTGACCCTTTTTTCCACATCTGAAGCATTTTCCTTCACCGTAACCATTCGGGTCCGATCCTTTAGACTTCCCTCTAGATTTTTGATCGGTCTCGTTGTCCCCCTACCCTTCTTCTATGCACGCCCTTGTGCCTCGACATGCAGAGCACTCCCACTACTAGAGGCCTCAACTCCTGAGACTTTGCGGTGAGATTCTTCATCCAGAATTGCTCTAATCACCGTGTCGAGCTTCATCTTGTCATTTCCATTAGCGTTGCTCACCGTCATCATCAGATTCTCCCACGAATCTGGTAGACAAGAAAATAGCAGAAGAGCTTGGATCTTATTATCAAACTTAAGATCCACTTCAGCAAGCTGTTGCACCACAGCCTGAAATTCGTTCAAGAAGTCCGCCACGTGAGCTCCTTGTTGCATCTTTTTAGATTGAATAGCTTCTTCATCAGGTACACCTTATTTGAAGCAAACGGCTTCTCATACAACACCTCCAAAACCTCAATCAGCTCCTTAGTAGTGGTCGCATGCGAGACATTATAAGCTACATGTTGGTGAAGGTTGAGCCTAATGGTGGCAAGTGTTTTACGATCGAGCACATTCTACTTATCGTCGTTCATCTTCTCAGGTTTCCCCTTCACTCCTTGGAGGGGTAGGAAGAGATTCTTCTAATACAAATAGTCTTCTATCTGCATCCTCCAATACCAAAAATTTTAGCCGCCAAACTTCTCAATCCGAAGCCTATTGTCTTCAACTGTAGATCCCATAGCGAAAGATTCCGTCTTTTCCCGAACAGTATTTGTGAATAGTAATAGAACTTATGAATAGTATCGTACTCGTGAATCGTGCCCAATACCTTTAAAGAGTAAATGATACTCTAACTTATTTCCTGATGTGGAGGATCCATTTTTAGTGGAAGCCACAGAGCATATGATAAGCAGATATACGTACTCTAAGTCAAGCTCTGATACCAGTTGTTAGGATACACTCCAACAAGAACGCCTCGAATAGAATAAAGTCAGCAGACACATATTCAATCACAGTACTCACAGATATAACGTGGTTCACTCTTATGGGGCTACTCCATGGTACAACGACGACGACGAATTCTCCTTTCCGAGGTTAAAAAAAAGATCAAAGAGAAAACCCTCTCTTGATTAAGATACTCTCCAAGAATACTCACAAACTCTCTCTATGTTTTCTCTCTTCTATATGAGGAGTTGTTTCTGGGATGATTTTTCCTGAAGAGTTTTGGTTCTATTTATAGGCAGCTGAAAATATTATGCACTAATTTTATATTAATTTTTCTTATGGTGGGGCCCGCCACCTTAATTTTTTTTTCAAAATCTGCCTAAGGGACGGTGCCTAACTGCCTAACAATTAGGCACGCATCACTTTCAACATATACCCCACAAGTAATTGTTCAGGTAGCAAACAAGTTATGTCGGCCAGGCAAAAAAGAAAAACGGTCATGCTGAGAGGCATGTGAGTGTATAAAATTCCTGTTTTCTCAAAGGATGCCTAAAGACTAAGTATATTTAGATCCTTTTTATTCCAATCCCTCGCAACATATTGTAACAACTGTAAGCAACTGACACGTCATATTATTAACCTGAATTTGAAGTTAAAAACTAGCAAAACAAGCGTGAGACTTTTGTAGACTTAACAGTCCAAAATCACATGAAGCAGGAAAGTCTATCACAGCAAATAATAATAATAATACATATAAATCAAGAAGTAAACAAGTAATAAGTGAGAGCTACCTTAAGTTCTTCACCATCAACTTTAACTGATAATAGTTTAAGATCATGACCATTAAGCACCAAGAGGACAAGAAACACCTGCATCCGCAGATAAATGACGAGAAACATTCTTTTAGTGCAAGGAGTGATAATTCAATAGCTTCAAGTACTGACACAAGTAAAAAGAGTCAAGTCTACTATTAGATGTAAAGCCTCTACAACACAGACAACGTTGTTGTAATGCTAAAAGATTCAATGAAGAAAAGTTGAACTCATATTTAATGAATTGACAATAAATTACAAAATTAGTGATGTGTTCACCTTCAACTCCAGGGAAAAAGGTAATATTTGACTAGGCTATTGTTCTGTCCTCATTGAGTGTAAATTTCAAATTGACCTGGAGCAATTCGAGAAGCAAAGCAAGGGTGAGCTAGTTTCCGAAACAAATCAATGATTTATCAGTATAATGTGAATAGTGGTGTTAAACAACGCCAGCTAAAAGGGAACATTATGAATAAGGAAAGAGAAAAATCATGTCTCTTCTATTATTAATGTGAGTTGAGAAAAAACAGTAATGTGTACAACAGATAATGGATCCAGTCTTCTTAGCCGAAAAGGAACTATATAAAGATGCTATTTACTAATACACAACCTGTGTTATCTTTATTAAAATGAAACCTACAAAATTTTATGGTTTGTATCAAACCTCACAATTGTATGAAGAATTATGGCCAACAGAAATTGTAAGAGAAATAATTAATGTGTGTAAATCTCGGGATTCCTTTTGCGATGCAGCTAAACTATATTTATCATTATCTAGTCACAAGTAGCTATAATAATCCAATCGATTATCAATAACATGAAAATTAACTGCAAATAGAATTATCCGTGCGAATTCTATTTTTTTCTATTTCTTATGCTAAACCATGTGATCATATAGAACATACTTCATCCCTTTGCTTAATACAAAGGACATGCGATTAACTGTGACAATTATTAATTAAACATTAGATGTGGATTGTATCTTTCATCCAGAAAAGACGACATTAGTAAATAAGCTACTGGCTTACTATCTATCAAACATAACTAATCAATAAGCTAAATGAGAAAAGGTCCAAAACAAGAGGGCTTAGTAATAAGAAAATTGTTATTCATTGATTAGTCAAGCTTATTATTTTTCGTAAAATCAGTTACAGGAAGAATTATTAACAAAGACATAACAACAACAGTATCTTTTGCTGCAAATAGAGCAGCAGAGAAAGGTTTGTATTAACAGTAGCTATGAATTGCGCTTACTTGTCGTCCTTCAGAAAGATCTCTTCAGGAGAAAATCCATCCTTGGCTCTTCAGCCTGGGATGAAACAGGCTGTGCCGCTTAACAAATAGAACGTTTGCTGGATGCCCTATTTTTCAGAAATGAAAGCAAAGGATTCTGCAAAAATTGGGGATTAACAGTCCACAAATGATTCTGAATAAAATTCAACAATGCAACAGAATCCACATTTGCAATCCTATCAATCAGATGAACAATAACTTAAATGATAGAATGTAATTAATTACCAAAAATAATAGTCAACTTGAAGGGAAATGCAGAACATTGAATCCTAGGCTCCAAACTCCAATCACCATTATAAATTAACATAAAAGAAAAATTAAATCCCAGGCGTGAGAAAAGAAGAAAGAAAGAAAATTGGAAGAGATTAGATATTGAACAGAAAGCATACTCAAAACCATAACCAAATCCAGAAATCAAAAAATCCTGCAAAAATTGGGAATAAACATTGCACAAAATAAAAATCATAATTCCATTCGTCAATCAGATAAACAAGAATTAAACGATCGTGAAGAGAACTACATAACATCAGCCAAAAATTGACTATCAAATATATAGAGAGAGGGAGAGAAAAGAGAGAGAAATTCTCACTCTAGTTCAAGAACCCTGTAGGCTGTCTAAAAATCACAATAGATAGCTGATCCCCATCAAACACCGATGATAGAAGTTACAATCTGACGACTTCCAGAAGGCTACAATTTGAAGACTTTCACGTAGATCGCTGAAGGTTACAATCTGACGACCTTCACGACAACCGATGAGAGCTCTAGTTTAACAGCCTTCACCATCAACATCGAGAGTTACAATCTGACGACTCTTGCATATCAAAGAGCTAAAGTAAAGATTACAAAATGACGATCTTTGCAACGCTTCGACAGAAAGAGACTACAAATCAATGGTCTCTTCAAATCAAGACGTGGAAGTCCTCCCCGCGTACCAGCATCAAGATGCGCCGTGTTCATAGTCACGAACGCAGCTCAAATACAGCTCCAAAAGTTGCAAACGCAGCTTAAATCACCACTGGACGCAGCTCTATTCGCTGCCCGACGCAACTCAACATCGCTGCACAACGCAGCTCAATATCGCTGCCCAACGCAGCTCAGATCCGCTACCAAACGTAGCACAAACGCAGCTCCAAGCACTGCCCAACGCAACTCTATACCGCTGTCAAACGCAGCTCCACGTTCAAACACGAGCTGAACGGTTTCAAAACCGTTTCCCACGATCTGAGGGGATCATAACTCCACTCAGGAGTGATTTAAGGGGCGGTTACATCCCATTAGCCCCACTTAGGAGCGAATTAAGGAGGTGGTTACACCCCTTAATCCCCTATAAATAACTAAGAAATCAACTTAGTTCAGGGGGGGATCTTTCGGGGGGCGGTCTGTTGAAACTCCTTGGCAGCGAAAATAGGATCCTTCATCCTTCGGTTAGAGCTTGGGAGATCTGCAACAAGATCTTCTTCATCCTTGGCTTATAACCGACTTTCGGTTAAATCAACTCTTTCATAGAGTTTTAAACTCGTTCAGAGTTCTCCACAATGTCAAATCGTGAGGAGAAGACCACGTTCTAGTGAAACAAGACATCGGATCGTCAACGAGAAGCAAACTCGACGCGAGCATTCGAGGGAGGCATCTCATCGCCACCGTGAAGAACCCAAAATTAAACAAAGGGGAGAATCCAGATCATTCTCCTCTCTTTTGTAATCAGGAAATCCAATTGCAATCGAGATTAAAGGAATACAAATCAAATTTTCCTTTATTGTCTTTTTATTGTAAATTTTCCCACAAACAAAAGATGGCGACTCTGCTGGGGATGAGCTTCTCTGACGAAGAAGTGGTGGCGCAATCCGACGTTCATCTTACTGGAACAACCGTCGAAACTCTCATGGTTGAGTTTGATCAAGCCAAGTTTGAGGAAGCTCTCTTATCCGGATCCCTTAGCCCCAAGGCTATGCGCAAGATCCACAAAGTCTCCAAGGAGACTAAAGCTCTAATTGTTGCTCCTATGCCGAAGGAAGCCTTCTCCTTCAACCAAGAATGCTCGAACAGCCCCTCCTCCGAAGGAGTGGGCTCAGCTTCGGCCAAACTCGTCCACCGAGTTGAAGGCTCTGCGTTCATGCCAAAGCGACGTTTCTCGGGTCACGAAAGGCCCATAACAGCGACCAACTCTGTCGACGACATCGCTGCAGAGACCTTAAAACAGGCCAACAAGAACGCCGCTCGACGAAGAAGAAGATCTCGACGACAAGTACAACTTCGAGAAAATCGATCCTCCAACCAACGCGAGATTCGCGTTCGTGAGCCTGAACGCGACCCTGAACTTCGCGTTTATGAGCCCAAACATGAGCTTCGCGAGAACCAGACTGAACGTGGCCCTCAATGGTGCGTTTTACAACCAAAATGTGGACCTCAAGCCTTCGTTGAACGCGAACTTCAACTTCGCGTTTTTTAGTCAAAATACGACCCTCGCGTCAACACTGAAGAACGCGACATTCGCGTTACCAAACCAAAACGCGACCTTTGTGTTTCAAGCGCCAAACGCGATCTTCGTACCAAACGCGACCTTCGCGTCTCCCCCTGGACCCCCGACTCGCTGACCGGGCAGCGAGACCCCCGAATTCTCTGCGTAGCGCGACTAGGTTGAGGGGCGGATATAAGAAGTTTATGGATTCAAGGCATCTCAACCAGATCCATATTCACCAAGAGCCAGTCCTGTCCAATCATGGACTGGGGGTTCCAGTTCAAACCTCACAATCAGTGAGTAATTCTCCTCGAATCTTTATAACAGATTCGAGAGAGTTCACATCGAGAGAAAGATCGATGCAACAAGTCATTCGTTCATTTCAATGTGAACGACTGATTCCTACGGTCCTCTCGGGACGCCAATGCTGCTCATATGCGGCCCAACTGCTGGTGTTCAACCAATTTACGAACGTTGCTTTACCCAACCAACGACGGCGTTCACACAAGAAGAAGACTTCTGAGGATGAATACCTTAGAGTCACTTCTAACATGATCGGCAGAGGGAGATCATCAGTTCCTAGTTCCGATGAGTCAGAGAACGATCAGTCTCCTGGCTTGAAAGACTTCCTGAATAAGTCTGATGGAGTTTATCAACATACTCGGACGCGAACAGGAGCCATTCCCCCTGTCAACTATCGGAGTTTAGCCAGGGGAACCAATTCCAATGATGAACACTCAGCCATTGCAGAGTCCCAGTCATCAAGCTCTTTTGTTGAACATGAGAGCTACGCTTATATGACGGGAAACCATGAAGATCTCGCGAAGAGACTTGATGAGCAGGAGGCCATGCTCAAATCTCAGCAAGAGGCCATCAATGAACTCCTGGCCCTGTTGACTCAACTCGTCGCAGACAAGGCCAAATCTCAGAAAACAGATTCGCCACTCAGGCAAGAATCTTCCCGAAGGGAAAGAACGTCTTCGTCCCGACCTCACACAAGCAAAGGGAAGGGAAAAATGGTTGATGACACGGCTTCTGACCAAGAAGCCCACAACCTGGAATCTTCCTCTGATGAAGGAAGAGAGACCGAGAATGAGCGGAATCCTCAATCGATAAAAATGGAAGAATTGGAAGCCCGCCTCAATGCCATGGCCAACAGAAACGAGCTCCAAGAAGAGGGAGCTGTCAGACCCTATCCTGCCGAATGGGATTCAACCCCTTATCCTTCAAAATTTGAGGTCCCGACGCTACAAACTTTTGACGGCACGGGATCACCGAACCAACATATCTATCATTTCAAGTCACAGACTGGGAATGTGATATCAAATGACGCCATACTGGCTCGATTATTCATTGGCACCCTCAAGGGAGTTGCCTTTGAATGGTTCAGAAAACTACCTGCCGGATGTATCCAAAGGTGGGCAGATCTAGAGAGACTCTTCCTGTCGAGATTCTTTGAAGAGGATACGGAAATCTCCATCCATACCCTTCTAGCCACTAAGCAAAAGAAGAGGGAGTCCGTCAAAGCCTTCGTCAAGAGGTTCCGAACCATGGCTCTCCGGTGTTCGTCAGGTATGACACAGTCTACCTTAGTAGAGACTTGTCGGCACAACTTGCAGACAGATCTCCTAGCCCGAATTGGAGTTGCAGAATGCCGTTCCTGGAGACAACTAATCTCTCAAGACGAACAGGCTCAAAAGATCATTGCCAGGATCAAAGCTGAAGAACAAAGTAGGCAGGATTCTCCCGAGCAATCGGACCAAGCCCAATCTTCTCCTGAGCAATCGGACCAAGCTCACTCTTCCCAGTCAGAACCGGAAGATACTACGGCCATTGAAGCTAATCCTCCTCTTCAGTAGGATGGCAGGTCCAACAACTATCACGTTAACAGTTACCTCTGATAGTCAAACTCGTTAGACAGTGGCTCACTATGCGATGTGCCATGTCTGCCATTTTCCCCCCTGCACTTGTTCAAGACTGGGGGTTGGTTTATTTGTAGTTCATTGAATTATGAATAATAAATTTTCTGAGTTGTCATGTTCAACAGAACACCTCTGTCAACCATGAAATCCACCAAAACTATCACGTTAACAATCACCTCTGATAGTCTATCTTCCTCCAAATTCCCCCACCAATCCTCTTCAAGTAGGATGGTGGGTCCACCAAAACTATCACGTTAACAGTTACCTCTGATAGTCCATTTTCTCCAAATCCCCCCCACCAATCCTCCTCAATAGGATGGCGGGTCTATAAAAAACTATCACGTTAATGATTACCTCTGATAGTCTATTCCCTCCAAATTTCCCCACCAATCCTCATCAATAGGATGGCGGGTCCATCAAAACTATCACGTTAACAGTTACCTCTGATAGTCTAGTTTCTCCAAATTCCCCCACCAATCCTCTTCAAGTAGGATGGCAGGTCCACAAAACTATCACGTTAACAGTCACCTCTGATAGTCAAACTCATCAGATAATGGCCCACTAGGTGATGTGCCTTGTCTACCTCTTTTTATTCCCCTGCTAAGTCTTAATCAAGACTGGGGGTTGGTTACTTGAAATCCATTGGATTAATAGTAACGAATCTTTCACATCGTCGAGTTAACATTACACTTCTGACGATCATCATCCCCACAGAGTATGCATTCAACTCGCATTACTCCTAATTTGTCACGTTAACAATATACACCTCTGACAATCAACTTATCAATTCTCCCCAGCGAGACGCTAGTCCCCAAAATCTTGTTCAAATCACAAGTACACATTCTCCTGTCATGTTAATATCACACCTCTGACAAAACCCACTTATCAATCCTCGTCAATAGGATGATAAGTCCTCAAAGTTGCTCCAATCGCAACATTCTCCTGTCATGTTAATATCACACCTCTGACAAAAACCCACTTATCAATCCTCGTCAATAGGATGATAAGTCCATAAAGTTGCTTCAATCGCAACACATCCTCTTGTCATGTTAACACCATACCTCTGAACAATCCACTTATCAATCCTCGTCAATAGGATGATAAGTCCATAAAGTTGCTCCGATCGCAACATATTCCTGTCACGTTAACATCACACCTCTGACGACAAAATCAACTTATCGACTCTCTTCAATAGAGCGATAGGTCCACAAATTCCTGTCAAGTTAACATCACACCTCTGACGACAAAATCAACTTATTGACTCTCTTCAATAGAGCGATAGGTCCACAAACCCAATAGAGCGATAAGTCCTCAAAGTTGCTCTGATCGCAACATTCTCTTGTCACGTTAATATCAAACACCTCTGACAAAATCAACTTATCGACTCTCGTCAATAGAGCGATAAGTCCTCAAAGTTGCTCCGATCGCAACATTCTCTTGTCACGTTAATATCAAACACCTCTGACAAAATCAACTTATCGACTCTCGTTAATAGAGCGATAGGTCCTCAAAGTTGCTCCGATCGCAACACTTTCCACTTATCGACTCTCATCAACGGAACGATAGGTCCATAAAAATACTGTTAGGTTAACATCACACCTCTAACCAGTCAAACCCCCTAATGAACTTGTTAATCCTTTTTCAACAAGAATAGCAAGTTGTCATTATAAAATCCCCAGTGGATTAGAGATTTTCTGAAATTATCCCAACGATAATAAAGAAAGTTTCTGAATTTCACTCTAAGTGAAAATTCATGTCAAGTTAATATTACACCTCTGGCGCTTCCAACTTTCTTTCAGTGTTTCAAGTAACACAGGAAGAAATAACGATAAAGTCTACGTATTCAACATCGTAGCACCAAAATCCATGCCTTTTACGCATGGGGGACTTTATCTCGATCCCTAATTAGAGATAAGCCTACGCCTAACACGCGTTGCCGGTTAGTCGTTTCCCGTGAAAATGACAAAGTCTATGTATTCAAAATCATAGCATCAAGTCTAAGAGGGTTCATTCTCTTAGCACAACGTTACATGTGGAACGGACTTAGACAATCCACATGCTAGCCCGACTCAAACGGTAGTCGGTAAAGGCTTATCAAATCCGTTGATGGCTGAGGGTTTGCCAAAAATCCTATGCACGTTTGCAGGTCCATCAGCTTAATGGATGTGAGCCGAGACTTAAAACAGATGAGCCAAAGACAAGTCTCAAAGACTTAGTCAAAAATGCACGGAAGCCACTTCCATGTCTCAAGTCAAAACGTTGAGGAAACGAATAAGCTGAAGACAAGTCTCAAAGACTTAGTCAAAAATGCATGGAAGCCACTTCATGTCTTAAGTCAAAACGTTGAGGTCAGACCCGCGATGCAAAAACCAAACGCTTAGGTCAGACCCGCGATGCAAAAACCAAACGCTTAGGTCAGACCCGCGATGCAAAAACCAAACGCTTAGGTCAGACCCGCGATGCAAAAACCAAACGCTTAGGTCAGACCCGCGATGCAAAAACCAAACGCTTAGGTCAGACCCGCGATGCAAAAACCAAACGCCGAGGTCACACCCGTGTCTCAAGTTCAAAATGCAGGGTCCACCCCCACATTCCAGAAGCAGGATTATGGCGCATACCTTCACACAGGTCCTACGTGCAAATCCCTTCAACCAAGATGCCTTCGAAGCAAGTGCAGAGAACAAATCCTTTACCACAAGGAATCAACAGCTCCAAGATCAGAGTTGAGATCCAAAGTATTCCGAAAATTCGTCCCAGTCAACCGCGAACTTTCGAAAACTTTGGAGGGGGTTCTGTAGGCTGTCTAAAAATCACAATAGATAGCTGATCCCCATCAAAACACCGATGATGGAAGTTACAATCTGACGACTTCCAGAAGGCTACAATTTGAAGACTTTCACGTAGATCGCTGAAGGTTACAATCTGACGACCTTCACGACAACCGATGAGAGCTCTAGTTTAACAGCCTTCACCATCAACATCGAGAGTTACAATCTGACGACTCTTGCATATCAAAGAGCTAAAGTAAAGATTACAAAATGACGATCTTTGCAACGCTTCGACAGAAAGAGACTACAAATCAATGGTCTCTTCAAATCAAGACGTGGAAGTCCTCCCCGCGTACCAGCATCAAGATGCGCCGCGTTCATAGCCACGAACGCAGCTCAAATGCAGCTCCAAAAGTTGCAAACGCAGCTTAAATCGCCACTGGACGCAGCTCTATTCGCTGCCCGACGCAGCTCAACATCGCTGCCCGACGCAGCTCAACATCACTGCCCGACGCAGCTCAACATCGCTGCACAACGCAGCTCAACATCTCGCTGCCCGACGCAGCTCTATAATCGCTGCCAGACGCAGCTCTAATCGCTGCCAAACGTAGCTCAAATCGCTGCCAAACGCAGCTCTAATCGCCGCCAAACGCAGCTTCCAACAAGATGCCAACGTAGCTTCCAGACACTGCGTTTGAACGCAGAATTCACACCAGAACGCGGATTTTGTGTTTGACTCGTTCAAACACGAGCTGAACGGTTCCAAAACCGTTTTCCACGATCTGAGGGGATCACAACTCCACTCAGGAGTGATTTAAGGGGCGGTTACATCGCATTAGCCCCACTTAGGAGCGAATTAAGGAGGTGGTTACACCCCTTAATCTCCTATAAATAACTAAGAAATCAACTTAGTTCAGGGGGGGATCTTTCGGGGGGCGGTCTGTTGGAACTCCTTGGCAGCGAAAATAGGATCCTTCATCCTTCGGTTAGAGCTTGGGAGATCTGCAACAAGATCTTCTTCATCCTTGACTTATAACCGACTTTCGGTTAAATCAACTCTTTCATAGAGTTTCAAACTCGTTCAGAGTTCTCCACAACGTCTCGGATCGTCAACGAGAAGCAAACTCGACGCGAGCATTCGAGGGAGGCATCTCATCGCCACCGTGAAGAACCCAGAATTAAATAAAGGGGAGAATCCAGATCATTCTCCTCTCTTTTGTAATCAGGAAATCCAATTGTAATCGAGATTAAAGGAATACAAATCAAATTTTCCTTTATTGTCTTTTTATTGTAAATTTTCCCACAAACAAACCCAAACTCAAATTCCGAGAAAATATCGAAGAGAAAAAAAAACCCCAGGTATGACAGAAAAAGTGAAAATTCAAAGGGCTACGCTATGAACAACGTGCAAACTCAAAACCATGGCCAGATCCAGCAATCAAAATAACTGCAAAAATTGGAACGAACACTGCACAAAACTGGTTCTAGAAATTCGAACAACCTGACAGGATCCAGAATTGTGAACTTATCAAACAGATTAACAGAAAACTCAATGATCCAAAAGTTGAGTGGACGATCGAATAAAGAGAGGAGTTAGATCAAACCATTAGGACCAGCGATAAGCCTCTTGGCCTTGTACGAATTCTCGAGCTTGGATCCAAGGCTAGAATCTCCAGTGACACTATTTGATTCCGCGAAAAGGAAAAGCGAAGAGAGAAAAACCTAGGTCGTCAAAGAAGAGAAAGAAACACAGCGAAATCTAGAAATCAATGAAATCAGCAAAAAAAAAGAACAAAAACTGAACAAATTCGATTCCAGAAATTTCAAGAGCGCAACCAAATCCACATTGCAAAAAAAAAGAACAAAAACTGAACAAATTCGATTCCAGAAATTTCAAGAGCGCAACCAAATCCACATTTGCGATCTTAACAATCAGAGAAACTCTCGAACTCGAACCAAAGGCTCGAGACTCCAATTACGACATCGAACACAAAGGGGAAATAAACCTATGTCTAACAACAGAAAGAAAAATTAAGACAAAACCACAATGAAAACCAAAATTCGAAAAAAAAATTAAGAAATGTGCAAAATTTTGTGAAAAAACGCAGAAAATCGGTTCAAGAAACTAGACGATCGCCTAATTAAATCGAAACTCTCGAACTCGAACCAAAGGCTCGAGACTCCAATCACGCTCATCGAACAGAAACAAAAACCTAAGTCTAAAAGCAGAAAGAAAATTGAGACAAAAACCACAACGAAATCAAAAAATCAACAAAAAAAATCTGCAAAAATCGGTTAAAATGCACGAAATGGATTCCAGACCTTACACACTTGCGATCTCATCGATCAGATGCACAAGAAAAAGAACGATCGTCAAATTAGAGAAGAGAGAGAAGAGAGAGAGAGAGAGAGAAGAGTGAGATCAAACCACAAGTATCGCCGATGAGATTCTTGGCGTCCTACGACATTCTCGAACTCGAATCAGAGGCTGGAACTCAGATCGCCATCTTCGAATGTGAGAAACCTAGATCTGAGAAGAGAGAAAAGAGGAGAGAAATTTAAATAGAAAAGCGCTCGATTTCTGATCCTCGACTCATCTATTTATAGCTTCTCTTCTTCTGTAGGAAGCTTCACCCAAAAAATAGCCGTTCGTCTGAAAAATATCTAATTAGTATCATACCATCATACCATCAATTAATCAATTAATTTATTAATTTATAAAAATTATGACTTAACTGCAGTGGTACTATAATGTTCTCTGCTCCGTGATTGGCGAACGCGAAAAGTGGTAGGACATGTAAATTTACTTTAAGTTAGGTGGTTAATATAAAGATGAGAGGGCGTGAGAAATGAGAATGCATTCCCTAGTTAGGGAGGGTTATTGATTGGTGTAATTTGGGGAATAATGCGATAATTTTTCGAACATCACTTTTTGGTGTTATTCATTGGGGTAATTGGAATTGGAGTCAACTTTGTGGTGTTATTGGGTTGTTGGGATAATTGAGAGATAAACACTCCACTTTTCCCTAAATTACACCAACTATATAAAGATCTCCTCCACCCCTTCCTCGTAATTACCCCAAATTTACCTCATCCTCCATATTAGAATAATGTTGTTCCACTTTGAAGGCAATTGGGATAATTTTAAAATATTTTTGTATTACTTAACTAATACATACTAATTATATTATAAATATATGATATGATATATATAATATTTTAATAACATATATTAATAGTATTATGTAATATGTTATTATATAATATTAATTAGTAATTATAGTATAACGTATTTATTATAATATTATATAATATTTTTAATATAATATATTATTATATAAATTTTCTGATCCTCTACTCATCTATTTATAGCTTCTCTTCTTTCTGTAGGAGCCTTCACCCAAAAAATAAGTCCGTTCGTCTGAAAAATATTCTTAATTAGTTATATACCATCATACCATCAATTAATCAATTAATTTATTAATTTATAAAAATTAATGACTTAACTGCAGTGGTCTATAATGTCTCTGCTCGTTAATGGCAGCAACGCGAAAAGTTGCGTAGCGACATGCTAAATTTTACTTTAAGTTAGTGCTGGTTAATATAAAGATGAGAGGCGCATGAGAATGAGAATGCGATTCCCTAGTTAGGAGGGTTATTGAATTTGTTGTAAATGGGGAATAATGCCGATTAATTTTTTCGAACATCACTTCTTTTGGTGTAATTCATTGGGACGTAATTGGAATGGCCAAGCCACACACCGTCAACTTTGTGGCGCGGTGCTTATTGGTTCATCTCCAGTTGTATGGGATAACTTGAGCAAGATAAACACTCACACTTTTCCTAAAAATTACACCAACTATATAAAGATCTCCTCCACCCCTTTCTCGTAATTACCCCAAATTTACCTCATCCTCCATATTAGAATAATGCTTGTTCCACTTTTGAAGGCAATTGGCGCGATAATTTTAAATAATTTTTTGTATTACTTAACTAATTACATTCTAACTTATATTTAACATATATGCATCTATATATATATTAATATTTTAATAACATATATTAATTAGTATTATGCCTAATATGTTATTATATAATATTAATTAGTAATTATAATATAACGTTATTTATTATAATAGTTATATAATATTTTTAATATAATATATTATTATATAATATATATTATTTATTAATTTATAAAATATTATCTATAGTTATTATATATATGACCATACTAGTTATAATATAATATAATAATTACTAATATTAATAACAATATTTATATATAATATTAATATAATACTATAGTTTGAAATTAATATAATATATTATACTATAACATGATACCTATTAATATATATTATTGTAATTATTCATGTTATATATATATATATATATATATATATATATATATAATTTTAATTTTAATATAATATTTTTAAAAAATATTACATTGAATAAAGTAAAAAATATTATAAATATTATTATAAAGTACATTATATCCTATGATACTATATTATAATATATTAAATTAAATAATATATTATTAAAATATTATATTAAATATATTATTCATATATTATATTAATTATTATATAATGTAGCATACTAATATAATGTTAATTATTAATTATTGTATAACATATTATATTTTTGTATAAATAAAATAATATATTATATCTACTTCTTCTTAACTAAAGGAGAACAATCAAAAAGGTTAAATGAACAGTAACATAAGGTTGGGCCAATCATAATTTTTCTCCTAATACCGCCCCTACGTTCTCCACAAACTGCTGTAGTTGTCGTTATCCCCTAATACCGCCCCACGTTCTCCACAAACTCCAGCAGTTGACGTTATCTGAATTTGTTTCCAGATTTGTATAAACCCTGCTCGCCTTTCCTCTACAAATTCATTCCACCACTCACTCAAACCCTTATTAATCTCTTCTCCTCTTTCTCTCTCATCACTCTCTATGATCTCTGATGGCGGCGACGAACATAGGGATGATGGATAGCGCTTACTTCGTCGACCGAAACGAGATCCTCGCCTGGATCAACTCGACGCTCCATCTCAACCTCTCCAAAGTTGAAAAGGTACGAACCTTTTAACTCAATTTCATCGAATTTTTGACTGATTTGGTTATTGATTTGGTCTTTGATCGACTCCGATCAAGAAATCTCAGGTGGCGTCTGGAGCGGTCCACTGCAGCTTACAATTTGGTCTCAATTCCAATATTTAGAGATTTGAGATGGAAGATCACAACTTTCTGCATTGAATCTATCAGAACTGGAATATTCACTCTTAAATCGATCAATAATAACATATAGATATATTTTGCCCCAAAAAAGTTGCAAATTTTAGAGTACCTTGCCACCGAAGAGGAAGAATTGGGCGAGGGCGACGCTGCCGACGCCACCCCAGATCACCATCGTCGATGTCAGCAGTGACCAATTTTTGTGACATAAAAGAGAGCATAGGATGCGTTTATGCATATATGCCCCTTACATCATCACTATTTGTGACAATATCCTTTACACTTACTATTTGCAAAACTACTTTATGCGGTTCACCCTGGGATGGTGCCGATGCACAAGGTTAATTTTGATGCCGAGTTCGAGTATGATATGACACATAATTATAAGGTTCTTCAGGATGTCTTCAACAAGTTCAAGATCAATAAGGTTTTGGCTCTTCGATCTCTATATTTTTTGTTGTTTGATTGGTGATATTGTTGATTTTTTTTCGTCTGTTGTTGGTAGATGCGGTAGGATTTTAGGTTGTCATTGTGTTGGATTAACCAAAAAAAGGGTGGTGGATTTTGCAGCGATTTGATTTCTATCTGCTTATCAATTATTTTGTTACTTTGGTCCTTTAAAATTTTGAGTATTAGTTAATATATATATTTGCAACAAAAGCACGTGTAAAGTTTTGACCTTTATTTAAAAATCTATTTATCAAGGTTGTATAGTATTATTGTAGGTGACTGATCTGTGTGTGGTTTGGTTGAAATTTATTTTAAGCAAACTTCTTTTGCATCGAGGCCGCGGCCGAGGTTGGATAGGTTGAGTTTAAAAGCGGTTCAATGAACATTACACTTATAGAAAATATACTTTCATGTAGAAATAGAATAGGTTGAGTTTAAAAGCGGTTCAATGAACATTACACTTATAGAAAATATACTTTCATGTAGAAATAGAGCAACGATACGAGCTCTATGTCTTGCTGAACATTACACTTATAGAAAATATACTTTCATGTAGAAATAGAGCAACGATACGAGCTCTATGTCTTGCACAATTCTTTTGGTCAATTGAAATAGTTTGACCGGAAACGAGGCTAAACATGTATGCCATCAAGAACACCCCGCAATCCAAGCTACTACAAGTTTAATGTTTGCAATATCAATATAACACTCTTGGCCCGCAATATATGGTCGCTATGCATTAGCACATATGAAAAAACAACATATGAATAAATCGAATACACTAACCCACGTTGTTGAGGTACATCAACATTTTCTACCTCCTGACAAGAAGTAATGTCTAAATTCCAAGCATCGGGAATGGTAGAAATAAGCTTCACTCTAAATTCACTAGCATTAGACATATATCCACGTAGAGAAGAATAATGATGAAATCTTCTATCCTTTACAAACATATATACAATATCAAATTAATCTACAGCAACATTTTCTTCATTAATCTCAAAATACTTCTCTATGGTCTAAATTATATATAAACTCGGCAGTAAACTACCGTAAATTATAGGTAATCAAGTAATCACATATAGAAATACATTACAATCATCAAGATGTCAAGTTTTTACATAGACGCTGTTAGTTTTTGTTAAATATGCTATCATCCCCATTGTGTTTGTAAAAAGTGTAAACAAAATCACAATATTATAAAAACTTACGTACTGTGATATGCATTTACAATCCCATGAATGCTACATATTTGATTGATATTTTTACCTCTTCTCTTTCTACCTACCTTTATGCCATTAACTATACTCTCTATCACCATATATTTACCTATTTCACAACTCTAGGCAAAATAAAATCATTTCACTAAATTTTATCAACCGCAAGAATGAGGGATTCATATTCTACCATATGCTACGGACAACCACTCTATGGAAAAAGAATAAAACTAAACTAACCAAATAAGATGCAAACTGAAATAAAAAAAGAAAAAGTAGCACACACTGATAGAATACCAATCACTAGAAAACATAATTTTGAGGAGAGATTACTTATAGAGAAGGGGGTGGAGGCTTGAGAGTGAGCCACCGGCAGTCAGGTTGACCATTATAGGGGGATACGCTCTAGTTGAGACACTAAAGAAGATGACGACGTTAGTTGAAGTGTTAGGTGACGGCAGTGTTAGGTGATAGTAGCAGTAAGGCAATGGCGGTCTTATGTGACGGCGGCGGTTGGGCAATGGCAGCGGTCAGACGATGGTAGCAGTCAGGCGCCTGTCAGCATCGCGTCTAGAGTTCAAGACCTCGACGTCGGCAATGGCGGCGGTGGTGGCGTGAAGAAAAGAATGGAAAAGTTAGGGCTTAAACTAGGACTCAAATTTTCACTCAAATTGGACTAGTTGTAGAGGAATTGAAAGAGGAGAGAAGAAGGGATCCGATGGGCATCAAGAAAGAATGGAGAGCAGAGAGAGAACAGAGGAAGAAGGGGGTTTTCTTCATTTTCTTCGGTTATAAAAAGGGCAAAGAAAGAACGGAGAGGAGAGAGAACTGGTTTTGTGGAGATTGAGGGCGGGGTATTTTGGGATTTTTACTTGAGAAATGTATAAATACAAGATACCCTAACTCTAAATTATACTATTTGGGTTTAGAGACAAATACATAAAGTTAATTGGGTTCAATGATACAAAAGAAAGTTGTTGGGTTTATAGATAAATCAGAGTAAAGAATTGGGTCTAAAAACAAAAAAAACCCTTATTTAAAACACATAAAGTATGTGCCTAAAAAATTATGATTCATTGCTCAGGTTAATGGCAGAGAAGGTTTCCCAGAAGTGATAAAAGTCATGTCTGGTAACAATTTAACTCGATAAGTCAGCTAACAAATTTCATTGTTTGCATTACATCTATTACTTCATATCTAAAGCATAATACTTTATTTTGGTAACATGTTTAGTATTTGCAGAAATCTTTTAGAAACTGTGCTTTGCACGGGGCTAAATACTAGTTAAATATTATATTATTAAAATATTATATTAAATATATTGATATTATATTATATTAATTATTATATATAGTATAGCATGCTTATGTAATATAATACAATACAATATAATAATTAATAATAGTAATTTGTAAGTATAGTACAATATATTATATTTTAATATAAAATAAAATAATATTTATATTATAATAATATACTAAATAATATACTAAACCAATTGGATAAGTTAATTTAGAAGTAATTAATAGATAAAATTATTTTTTAATAAGGTGTCACATCATCAATTATCTCACATGAATTGTCAAATCAAATGTTGAAATTATCTCATTATCCTACTTTATCCTACTTTACCCCACTCAAAATATCCCAAATGATAAAATTGTTCCATTGGAATACTTATCCCCATTGGCCTCAATTTGTCCTAACCAATAACCCCCCCTTAGAGCATCTCTCCTAAAAAATCCAAAATAGTGTAGTATCATACCATCATACCATTAATTAATACCATTAATTAATTTAAAAAATTATGAATTAACTGCAGGGGTACTATAATGTTCTCTGCCCCGTGATTCGCGAACGCGAAAAGTGGCGGGGCATGTAAATTTACTTTAGTTAGGTGGTTAATATAATGATGGAGGGGGGCATGAGAATGCATTCGCTAGTTAGAGCATCTCCAATCAAAAAATCCAAAATGGTGTAGTTTTTACATTAAGTTGATGTAGTTTTTATACCAAATTACTATTCCATCTCCAACACATTACACCAAGTTTTACACCAAAAAGAAAATTCTTTTTATTATTCTTATCTTTTAACATTTTTATCTATTTAAAATATTTAACAAATTGATTTATTTTAATAAATTACACTAAATTTTACACCAAAAAGAATTTTATTTTAATAATTATTTTATATTATAATTCATTATAAAGGTTTAAAAAAATAAATGGAACAGTCTGAGGTTAATGAATGATATAATAGGATACAATAGGTATTTTTAATTTGTTATCACATAGTTTAAGGGTCAAATCAAAAAAACAAAAAAACTCTAAATTGCGCAACATTGTAGCACCTCATCAATTTAACGCGTGATTTAGCAACCGATTGGATGGAGTTTTTGCACTAAAATAGCTTTTAGCGCTAAATTACAGCTCCGTTGGAGATGACCTTAGCACAAGCAGCGAATTGCAGTGAGGTGCAAGAAAAAAAATCCAAATGTGAGTGCATCCCGAAAGATTACAGCAGTAATCAAGGGAAAAGACCTTATTTAGAGTTAATTTCAAGCTGAATGCATTTCTATTTTCGTGTCCTGAACTTTTAAAGTGAAAGTATATCTATTTCCCTACTTTTATTTTGTATACTTTTGTTTTTATCTTTTTTATGTACTTAGAATTCTTCGTATCCATGTGAGGAAATTTACGACATTCCTTTGTTTCTCTAGTCTTTTTTATGTACTTAGAATTCTTCGTATCCATGTGAGGAAATTTACGACATTCCTTTGTTTCTCTAGTTTTGACTAGTATGTATAAGTTTGTTTTCCTCCCAATATTGTTATGAACAAAATAGATTCCTGGGCGCCATAGGTTGTCATGTTATATGCAAAAATGAGTTTCTCAGCCGTTGGAAGATGTGGAAAGTAATTTCATTCATTTATTATAGAAATAGCATGTTTGACAACTAGTCAAAATGTGGCCTATAAGCCGGTGAGATGTATTTGGCAAATCTATATTTTATATTTAAAATCTCTTCCCCTTGAAAATGCCACCTGGCAACTTCGTGCTTTTTTCAAAAATTAATTTCTTTAAAAAAATAAAAACTTTAATGTCAACCTTAACTTATCTCAACATTAATTACCCTTTTATTACCCGATTATTTGTTCTAATTAACCAAGAATCACGTCCTCACTCTAATTATTTCACCCAAGTCGTTGTTCCCCCTTTTCTTCAATTCCCAGCATAGCATTTCACTATTTCACCCACATCCCCTATCACCCGCCTCCTCACCCCCTTTTTATTTCTTCATCAACTCTAATTATTTCACCCACCTCACGCTGGTAGTATTCCCCCTCCCCCCCTTCTTCAACTTCCAAGATCAGTATGCGTGTCCTTCGAACTCAGAAATCATCTACAGCTCCCCAAATCGTCTCTTCGTCTCCGTCGACCGCCACAGCTGTCAAATTGTGATTGTTTTTTTCGAAATCCCTCAATCTAAGCCTCTTTTTGGCCTTCAATCCTAAATTGAGGGCTTCGTCATCTACTCTATTCAATTTCCCACACCGTTCTCTTCTCCCTCTTCGAAAAAATTTTCTACGCTCATTAGTATTCTTGAGAATCCAAGCATCACTTCTTGAAACTAAATCTGAAGAATATGTTTATATATGGTAAGCCCTCAATGCTTCATATTATTCATCCTCACCTCCATCATCTACAAAGAAGATTTTCTCTGAAGGCTGCAAAGGTTTGTGCGCGTTACCACAGATTGAAAGGTATGTTTTTTCCCCCAAAAGCTTCATAATATTTTAGCTGGTCATGGATTCTAGCAAAAAAATTTAACTATTTTATTTTCATTCAATGTTACAGAAGGTTGTCAGAGCCAGTTGTTCAGGTTGAAAGGTATGATTTTACATGTTATACTCTTTCAATTGCAATTGA